TGTCTTGTTCTTCTTCTTGTTCTTGTTATTCTTGTTGTTGTTGTCGCTGTTCTTGTTTAAAGTTGTTTTTGCAAGGTCTGTGTCGCATAGGCCCGGACTGTCTATCACACCGGGGGGCTACACAAATCAGGACGGAACATTATAATATCTTTCAACAAAATAGAAAGTAAGATTGCCATTCATTTAGTCGAATGCTACGTTTCAATCTTTTGGGGAATTGCCATAACATCTTTCTTTGGTCTACGGAATTCGCTACGAATTGTCTCGCAATATGCCATCATTCCTTGGCACTTGGCAGCTCGCGCAATCAAATCTTGAAAAAAAACAGTGAAAAATGCAAAACCATTGCTTTTTCAAGTTTTGAGAATTCGATGGAAAACAGCTGCTCAGACAAGCAGCCACGTAGCCACTTGCAGCCACTTGCAGCCACTTGCAACCACTTGCAGACACTTGCACAAGCAGCCACTTGCAGCCACTTGCAGCCACTTGCAGCCACTTGCAGCCAATCGGACAAGTAGCCACTTACAGCTACTTGCAGCTACTGGTCAAGCAACCACTTGCAGCCACAAGCAGCCACAAGCAGCCACCAGCAGCCACAAGCAGCCACTTGCCCAAGCAGCCACAAGCAGCCACCAGCAGCCACAAGCAGCCACTTGCCCAAGCAGCCACTTGCAGCTACAAGCAGCCACTTGCAGCTACAAGCAGCCACTTGCAGCTACAAGCAGCCACTTGCAACCCCTTGCAACCACTTGCAGCCACTTGCAGCCCCTTGCAGCCACTTGCAGCCTCTCTAATCTTCTGTAGCAATTCCCAGGGTACTACACGTCAAGTTCTAATCTTCTGTAGCAAATCCTAGGGTACGGTACATCAGCTTTGATTCTTTTGTAGTAATTTATGGGGTACGCACATCAAGTTCTATTTTTCTAGCAGCAATTCCTACAAGCTGGAGCGCGGTCATCCTGTAATCTTGCGCTTCCTGTTGTTCATTCTTGCTAACGGTTCAAAGAGAAACATGTAAGATACATTTGGCACATTCCCCAAAGGAATTGTCAAAAAGAAAATGAATAAAGCCGAGGATAAAACTTGAATGCACAATGCTCCAGCATGCTCCAGCCACGTAGTACTAAGATACCTCAGAACAATGATCCTTCGTCGGGATCTTCTCAGCATCGCAAACTGGCACAGCTTGCAACATCTGCCCATCACAAGCTCACGATTTCCAAATCATCAGGACATCCGGCACATAGATGCTACGAAACTGCTTTTGGAGCTTTCACAAAAAACAACATCGACCCAGTACCTGGTACCTCTTCAAAGCTCATCAAAGCTCTCCCAGCGCTCCCCCATTTTCTTTTGCAAAATGCGTCACTGTTGCAGTGTCCTCTCCCCTGGACACCCCACTTCATCCTGGATTAGGAGGTCAACCTGAAACCGGGGCAGGTGGCAGGGTGGCACTTCAGGCTGTGGAAAGCTTCACAAAGGTACCAAAAAAAAAGAAATTTTACACTAATGGACCCACGAATGGTCAGAATGTTCAGAATGTTTAGAATGACATCCAATTTTGTCAATTTCGGAGGTCAATAAGTTTGAGCCATACTGATGATGCCTGTTTCCCATGAACAAATCAAATGTGCTCAAGTGCAACTTGGTCGGCATAGTCATCCATGGCGTTGTCCACTTCTTCCATGGCAGACTCCACAACAGCCATGGCAATGCTATCCGCAAGGAATGGCCAAATCACCTTATTATGGCAGAAGAGTCAGAGTGATCCAAAGTCATGAGTTGATGTCCGACCATCAAACATCATCCAAATTTCTAAAAATATGTCCCAACCATCAAGAAGATCATCCAAACCTCCAGTGACCTTTTTGAAACAAAGCACAGGCAGAACTAAGGCTGCATACCCAGGTGGCCGTTTTGGACCCTGGACCACTTTGGATCCCAGCCTGTAGGGCAAATGTAATCTTCTCACATACACAACCGCTGTGGAAAACTTGGAAAACCATGGAAAGCCACTTTTTGGATGTTTCCATAGTCCACAATCAATAATTCCTTCAACATGATTTTCGCTCAACACTGGGAAACAATCCACTGCAATGTCAGGCGCGCCTCCCTTGCGGCCATGCAATGATGTGCAAAGCGAGCACCTAGGTGAAGACCAACATGGATCAAGTGGCCATGGGTCAAGATTAAATCCACTGGAAAACTGGATAAAAATGGACGGTTAACGGTTAATACAGACAAATGCCTGAACAATAATAATATATGATAATATATGAATCAAATGATCGAAGATTCTGGTATATTGATGTTTGTTGGTTCCCAATGAAGCAAATTTTGACTTATCTCCACCTATCCGCAGGGCCCCGACGATATCTTTCCAACTCCAGCACTCTCTGTGCCGGCAAAGAAGCGACTCGCCAGGCCTGACACAAGCCAAAGCCCTTCGCTCAACGTCGAAGATTCTTGGCTGTTTGGGAAAAAAACTACAAATCCTACATGAATATGATTAGCAGTGCCATAAGATAAATATTCATCCATGACTATCCACTAGGTTGGCTACTTGAGCAGCTTGAGCACCTCGTCCTCCTCCTCGCTCTGCCATTTCTCAATCTCCTTGCGCCTCACGGGCGTAGTCCACGACGGCTTGGCCTGCAAAATTCACCGGTGGATGGACACAGCAATGACAAGGCAATGATTGGAAAACTGGGCCAAAGTCATCCAAAACATTCCAAAACCACATTGACATCCCATCTGCCACAATCTTCCCCCATCTCTTGGTGGATTTTGTTTTCACCGAGAGGCGGCTTTCTCTCCGTAGGTCATCCGAAGCTCATGCTCAAACGTCAGAAGTCGATCCGTAGCCGACTGCACCTGGCAAGGGCATCTAGTAAGTATCATATGGTAAACCCAAGCATGAAGCTTTAACTTGGGGTGGTTAATGCTGGTACCCCCTATTTCTATCTATTTCTGGTAAAGTTGGGGATGGTTTATGGTATTGGGTTTACGACATTCATTTCAAATTCAATACGCCAGTGCGCGCAGGAGGAAAAATATGGGCCCATTCAGTTCAAGGGAATGAAAGATATGAAGTGCATCAGGAATCGTCAGAACGTAGTTGTTGGAAAGGTCCTAAAGTTCTTTGGGGATCTTTGGGGATCTTTGGGGTTCTTGTGCAAACTTGCACAACACCTTCTGATCTGGGTGTACATATCTGAAATTGGGGTAAAAAAAACCGTACCCCATTTGATGGTCATTAAAAAAGAGGGAAAACAATGAAAAACTGATGATAAACCATTGGAATTTTGGGTACCCAATTTTCAGACAAAACCATTTAAGGTCTGGTAAACTAACATGGCTATTGAAAATGACCATTTATAGTGGATTTTCCCATTGAAAATGGTGATTTTCTATAGTTATGTTATGTTAGTTTACCAGAGGGTAAGATCTCCTTGATCTTTCAAACACTTCACCCTGACCATCATGACCACCCTGACTCAGCAGCGCACCATCCGTTGGAGGGTCGTATCCTCTGCAGCTGGCACTGCAGCTGGAGCTGCTTTTGGCTTATCTGCACCAGGACTCATCAGAGAAGACTCAGAACACCAGTGGTTGCTGGTTCAGCAAACCCCCGAAATATATGTATATGAATATGTATAATTATGATTAATTACGTATAAATATTGAAGTCAATGGGGATGACCATCGCACATTAGGGTTGCAATGATATAGCCAGAAGATATCAGAAGTATCAAAGTCAAAAACTGGATGTAAGCCCAAACATATGTTTTTTCTCGCTGAGATTGTTCAATGATTATCATGATCCCTGAATGGGCATGGAAAAGGTAGAACTGAAATATCTATGCCGCTATGCGTCCGTCAATCCATAACTCAATCCATCACTGATTGAGACTGAATGAGTGAATCGTATTGAATTGTCAGATCCAGCATGATCCAGCCTTCCGTATGCCTGGCTTCGACTTTGCTTGGCATCGTCTCCAACTGATTGACAGAATCTCCTGAGTGCGAACGACGAGCCATGACGCCATGACCATCCATGAGCCGCCCGTCCCATCTGCTCCAAGTATCCCAGGATCTGCTCCAGCACAAAATCCACCAGTCGATCTGCCTGACACTCTCAGCTGTGCGGAAGATGATGCTTTGAAGATTGCTGATAGGTTTTTTCCAGGTTTGTTCAACTGTTTCTTCTGGTTCATACAAAATGCAGAAGGTTTTTCCCAAGAAACGAGAAAGATCTCAAGCTTCATCCAGCCTGGCCCACAACTTTGCTAGAGTTCTGCCTGACTCAGATGCGAACTCGCATCAGGATGGGAGTGTCATGTCAAATGGATTTGATGAGTTTCCACCAAGGTCTGTTGTAACACATATCATGATTCTCATTGATTCTCACTAATCAAACATGGTCAAAAACGTTTGCTACCTGACCATCAAAGGCACAAGAGGAGCTCGTGGCTCGACGGATTCGGCTTGGCGACGCGCTTCGAAGGAGCACTGGGGTGATCTCTATTACTTGGACCAAGCAAAGCAGTGAGCTTCTGAGACAACTTCTGTACTTTCTCGGGAGTCTCTGGCGCAGTGATTGAAATCCGATCCACCTGTGGTCTTCTTTGGGCCACGGATCGTAAGCTGCCAGGCAGTACCGCAACATCTGGAGCACCGATCGTCAGCCCCTCCGGCAAAGACCCGGATTGCGGCAGCAGAATGGCCAATCTCTCCCCCAAACTCGCCATGTCTCGCTTCCTTTGCACATGAGCAATGGCCAGTTGCTGTGGGGCTGAAGGCAATTGCGCATGTAGATTCAGCTGTGGCGGAGGTTGCCTGTCCCAAAGAGTTGCTTGGATCGGTTCAACAGGCTCTCGTTGCTGCTGAACTTCTGCCACTCTTGGGCTCTGAAGATTCTGAACCACAGGCTGTCTATCAGATCCAGCATGACCGGGACCTGTGGCCATACTCCCCTGCAGTCTCTGTCGCAGCTGTCCTGGCCGATGCCTGGGAGCCGCCAACCTCTCCCTGGGAGCCGGAGCCACAGTCGCTGCAGGCTGACTTTCTGCACGCCGAGCTGGCAGAACCTCGCTGAAAGGTCGACGCGACTCTCGGAAGATGTGGCGCAGCTGGGTGTCAAATAGACTGGGCGCTCGCGTGTCCTCGGATGGGCTCGAGACTACCACGGGGCGCACAAGTTTCTTGCCTTTTGAAACCAGCCCAAAATGTGAAATCAAACCTTCATCCTTGGAAGATCATCACATCCTTTTCAAAACTTGCAATTTCGAGCCCCATATCCACTTCTGATGACAATTCATCACATACCCATAGGATCCATGTATGGTATATATGGTAACATTTACCATATTTTACCATCAATATACCCCAAATGTTAGCATATATATATATACCATACATGGATCCTATGGGATATGGATGTTTTTTCCCGTGATTTTCCCAGGAATTTCCGGATTTTGGACCACCTCCCCCTGGTCCTCATCCCACCCGGGCCGTTCCGCTGGCTGCTTCTCGCGTCTCTGCCGGCCGCGGCCTTCGGCGCCGAAGCGGCCGCGCTGCCGCGGCGCGGCGCCGCGGGGCCGCGAGGGTCTCAGCGGCGCGCTGGAGGCGCGCCGGTCCCGCAGCTCCACCATGATGGATATCAGCAGTTGTTCGGAGGCTTGATCATGTCATTGATGAAATATGTATATTATATATAATATAACGTACTGTATGTATATATATACATAATATAACTATATAACTATATAACATTATATAACTATATAACTATATAATGATTTATATACAGTAATTCTCATATCGTAATCATTTTTAAGGTGATCTACCCTGTGAAAGAACGTTGCGGTTTAAAGCCAGAGACTAAGTGACGAATGGGTATCCATCCATCCATTCCCTATCTTGGTTTCATAATGGCTTGAAATCAATCCTACTGGTAGTGCATTGAACCTGTTGTAGAATGAGATGAGGAAAGATCAGCGGAATCGTGTATGACTGCAGAAAATGACATTGTAAGATATTGCAACATTCAGTAACATTCACGGAAACCATCACGTTTCATCGTGGCAATCTGAGCTTAAAGAGCTCTCGGCATGGAGCGCTTCCAAAGAATTTGCATGGTAGGAAGCCGACAAGTTGCCAAATCTATGGAATGTCTTAGATCAACCACCGTCTCAGGAGTATCAGAGGGCGTACTTCCTTAGCCGCCTTAGCCTTCTTGATGCAGGCCTTCCTCTTCCAAAATTCGGTGGAGTTGAAGGTGCAACTGAAACATCAAGCCATGTGAGCATCGACACAAAAAGCACTACGACCAGACAATGTCTCCGAGTTGGTCCATGATGTAACTGCTGAGTACATCTTCGAGGCTAAAAACCCTGTGCGCTACTGTGCTAGGTACTGTAAATATCTGTAAATATCTGTAAAATTCTGTAATTAAATGATTGTAATAAGATGTAATAAGTTAAGCTCAAGTCGAGGAGGTCCAACTTGTCCAACGAATCTGTCATATTAACAGTATCTATTGCAAAACATCCTGCTGCAAAGGGGTCATTGGTATAGGCATTCTATATGGGGATGGGTCAAAACCTTGTACCGCTGGTGAACATCAAAATAGCTGGTAAATGGATGTTCATCCCACTAAAAATGTATCTATAGGTATTGACCCATACCCATATGTTACCGTATGTTTGATGGCTCTTTGACATCATGCCACGATTTTGCAAAGCACTGCACAAGCTGCGCAAAGAAATCCTGCCATGCCGGGTCCAAAGCTGTTTCTAGAGAAAAGCCGAGTGCTCAGTGTATGCTGAAAGCATTTTGGTGCCCTCTGTCAGCAGAGCTCCAATAACCACTGCAGCGTTCTGTCCATGGTCCTGCTCATACTTCCTGCAGCATTCCTGTGCCGTCACGGAGCCAGATCATGGCGTTGCTCGCCGTTCTTGTCCTGACCATGGTTCGGCCTGCCCTGGGTGCGAAGTACTCAGGTGCCATCGTAGCCAAACCTGCTCGTGTTTGCAGTGTGAAGTTGGGAAGGTCGGCATGATTCAAGAATCTTGCAGTTCGCTCTGAGAAACATTGGAATAGAAACATGTCAGAATCAGATTCGTAAAACATCGTAAAACTATTTGAACATATTTGAACGAGCTCAGAGAAACATCAAAAGGAACCAGTGACCAGTGGATCATCGATCTGTGCCTTGTCGACACCATTCCATGTGGACGAAGATCCAATGCTGTGCCATTGACCCGCAGCACATCATCCCGCGCAGCAGCGATGGCAGAGAGAACACTTTGAGCTTCAGCACTCGCAAAAACGCCAGTGTCCAGGGCCCTCTGCACCCCAAGCTCAGATCCAGCAATCAAACAGCGATTTTGTGGAGATCGATGGAAAGGCACGAAAGCGACTTCGATGGCAGATGGAAAAAGACTCTGCAGCAGGTTTGAACGTGGTTGCTGTAGGGCATCCTCAAACATTTCAGCCATTTTCACTTGTTTTTCAGTGATGCGGCTGGCCTCTGCACCAGCGGTCGTACGCCATGCAACACACGGAGTGCAAACACCTAACAAAGACACCAACGGGTCAGTGCTCTTTCCCATTAGCTTTCGCAAATAGGGATCTGCAGAATGAATCTCTGAATAGATGCGCCTATCTTCTGCAGCACCAATTTTGTGCATGCAGCACGTGGCGATGACAGCTCCAAGGACGTCAACCTTTGTCTCAGCACCCGCCTGACACCAGCGCCGCAGCAACTTCAGGGCCAAGTCGGTCCCAGTGCCGCACAAATGTTTCGCTATGACCACGACTTGGGTGATGCCATGCTTCTCCAGGAGCGGTTCAATTTCTCGGCTCGCGTCCAGATCTCCTACATCCCCAGTGACACGTAGAACTCGCTGACGATACTCCTCTGGGAGTCGCCCTTCAACGCGCATGGGTTCCGGAGGCAGGGTGTGGTCAATCAGCACTGCATGACCGCCCAGCAGCAACGCTGCCAGCAGTGCCAGGCTTCCATTCCCAGCCCCAATGTCCACCACCGCCAAGCCCTTGCCACAGCTTGGCGCCAAAGCCCAGACTTTGCAAAGGATGGACCATTCCTGTTCCAGGTACTTCTCTTGATACTTGGGTGGCCGGTCAATCATGCTGGACAGAACCTCCAAGCCTTCCCGAGGCGCAAAGATTTGCGGAAGTTTGCGATAAGAGCATGGCACCCACAAAGTCAAAGCTGCCTGTGAGAGGGCTCCCTCCACTTCCTCCTCTGTGGGGTGTTTCACCCGCCTTTCCTTCCCCTCGGCAGCATCTGAGGCCCTGCCAAGAGACATTCATTTCAGAAGTGATCAAGTATACACATCTCTGAAAGAGCGAATTCATCTGCACCTCAGAGTCTTAGGAGCTAGTCCAGGTAGTATTTCTTGAAGAGCCTCCATCATAGATACAAAATCAAAAAAAATAAACCAGTTTGAAGCTGCTACTCCTGACATTATCCATCATTATCCTACATTCTCTGCTTGCGTCAGCAACTTCAAAGGTGTTTGCAGCGAATCAAACCTGCAGAACTTTGTGAACGGCGCGCAGTTCTCGAGTGCGTGCTTTGTCATGCTCAAGACCTCACTGAGGTCCAACTCGCCCGCTCTCTGAAAGTGAATCGGCGCGCACTTGGCGAATTTGGCGATATGATATGATGAGATATGATAAGAATTGATAAGATATGATGAGATATGATAAGAATTGATAAGATATGTACGATATGAATTCAATGCAAAGGAAAACGCATAGTTTGTGACTTGCATGCACCAAGGTCAGAACGGATATTGGCTCGTTCTTGACGTTTTTGTCGGCGCCGCGAAGCAACGGAAGGCTTTGATGCCTATCCAGATCCAAGATCAAAGCTTCAAAGCCTACTCACTTCGGGTGTTGGAAGAAAATTGTCCTACATGGTTTTTGAGATCTTTTGAGTCAGTTCGTTCTGATGCCTGCTTTTAGATCATGAGCTCATGAAATTCAGAAAGTCATCAGCTTTGCTCTCCTCCTGCGCATCGTCTTGCCACAGAAAGCCCTCCAGGGAAAGACCCGGTAGCCATTCCTCCAGAGTATCGTCAAGTGCAGCGTGGAATGCAAGCAATGCTCTGTTTGACTTGATGACTCCACTCCACCACGCAATGTCGGAGAAACTCTGAAAAAAGTACCACAATCAGCAAATTCCTCCAATTTGATCCAATTTGTTGACTTGACTGACGATTCATAAATCGAACTGATTGTGCTGGTTGAAGAGACGAGGCATGTCCTCTACATCATCAGCTTCAGCATCATCAGCCATTCCCTCAACTTGAATCGAGTAAGCTTCGGGAGAAACTCAGCTGTTGTCAAGGACATTCTGCAGTTGCCAAACGTCTCACATGCTCACATTCTCGAAATCAACGACATGAAATTGAATAGATATGGGGATGGTTCAAAACCCTATCCCCCTGGTGAACATCAAAATAGCTGGGATTTATGGATGTTCATCCCCCTAAAAATGGTATGTATAGGTATTGATCCATAGCCATATAATTACATCACAGAAGGGATACAAGATGACACAAGCTGTGCCTTTAAAAGGAATTGACCTCTAACTTGGCCGACAATGGATGCGAAGCTGCGGCCGACGCTCCAATTTTTTTTTCTCACTCGGCGACCTCCAACTGCGGCCTGCGCTCAGGTGGCCTTGGAACTATTGGAATTGAGATCAAAACATATCAAAACCTGGTTGCGAACTGGTTCTACTGGTTTTTTCTTCAAAGCTCTTCCAATAATTTGCTGGTTGATCCCTTTTAACATATGTTCAATAGCTTGGTAGAACATAGTAGAACCCAAATTCTTGTACATTACTATACTATACTACTATGATATACTATGATATACTATGATATACTATGATATACTATGATATACTATGATATACTATGATATACTATGATATACTATGATATACTATGATATACTATGATATACTATAATATGGCTTCCTACTAACCTATTTGACCATGCACCACTGGTCACTTTCGGCCAAGTCGCGGTGCACACGCGACCAGTAGTCGACCAGCGCCCTTGGCGTATCCGTCAATGAGAACCTGAGCAGGAGCCCTTAAAAGCCACGCGAATGCTGTATATATGGGGTACTAGTATATACCCTCTGGTAATTTAACATAGCCATGGTATAGATGACCCATTTATAGATGGGTTTACCTATTAAAAATGGCGATTTTCCATGTCTATGTTAAATAACCAGAGAGTATATACAGGGGCTGGCAAATGTCCTGTTTGGGGAAAATTTGAACATCACTTGAAAGAGGGTACCTGCTGGAGATTATGTGAAAAGTTTATATATGACTTTTTTTGCCTTTTTTTGCATAGGACATTTACCAACCCTTGATACAGGGTGAAGTTATATACAACAAGGAAAAGGGAAAGAGGAAGGACAAGAGGATACAAGAGGAAGAGGAGAAAGACATACAAAGACCAACACAAAGGAAAGGAGGAAAGATCAAGATGAGGGGAGCATCTTCGCTCTTCTCACCATCACCATCACCAGCAGCAGGGCCCAAACAACAGCAACGCTGCGTAGCTAAGGAAGTCACCCAGGATCCACAGTCGTCGGAGATGTCAAGGAGTTGTCGGTCTTGTGCGGACAACCTGCGCTTCCAGTGCTTTGTTCACATGTGAAACCAGCTCCAATCAGACCGCGCACGCCTGACCCATCCTTGCCAAACTTCTTCAGCCTGGCGCCACGGTCTGAGCCATTCCTGAAAATCAAACCGTCATAATCCATCCCTTCCAGTGCGTTCCATTTCGTCCCATGGCCTCTATGACTGTTCCAGCCTGCAAAAATGCGATCGCAGGTGCCTCCATGGCACCAGATTGACGGCAGAGTCACTCTAGAAACTGCGCGAGATCCAGATGCAAACAAGCCTGGACTGAAGCCTTCATGCGAACTGGAACCCGTGCTTCGTAGACCTCAGGGAGTTGGAAAGTGACTTTCAGTGGGATATCATGGAAAATGTTGATGACCTGCTGATATCATGGACCCGCTCACGCTTGGGATTCGGCCACGCGAAACCAGCGAGGCTCGCACTCCTCCAACCTTCAAGGGTGTTAATATGCGTCAAGCAGCCTTGAATCTGAACAACTACACGCAAAAAAAAAGTTGGAAGCGTATCACTTCAAGATTTGGCCAACAACTCATGCGGCTGGTGCTGTCATCATCTAGAATGCGTTATCCATCATCCAGACTCCATCATCCACACTCCATCATCCACCACCACCAACACTACTAGTACCACCAGGAACATCATCATCATCATCATCATCACCATCACCATCACCATCACCATCATCCTCATCCTCATCCTCATCCTCATCCTCATCCTCATCCTCATCCTCATCCTCATCGGCGGCGGCGGCAAAGTCAGCGTGAGCGTGAGCGTCAGCGTCATCATCATGTATAAATATGTATAATATGTTTAAACAAACTGCCAAAATCATTGCCACTGGTTTCTGACCTTTCTAGTTTGCCACTCCAATTGGGGAAGCCAAGAAGCAGCAAGCCCAAGCTTACGGCTTTACCATCTTGGAGAACCTCGCCGCCGCTCAGTCAGTCTACTCTGCGGATGCGTGGGTTGCTTGACCAATCAGCCCTGCCCAAGATACCCTCTGGTAAACTAACATAGCTATTGAAAATGGCCATTTATAGTGGATTTACCCATTAAAAATGGTGATTTTCCATAGTTATGTTAGTTTACCAGAGGGTACCATGAGTGCTTGACCCAGGCATCACAATCTTCGGACCTCGGTCTCAATGAGAATCATGAGATCTGACACAGGTGACTCAGACGATCGATCGCCTCGATTGCCTCGGGTCTGGACACGTCTCGAGCATGTTTTTCTGCATCCGCTAGCCTCACCCATCCTGCAGCAATCGAAGTCTTTATAAAAGTCTGTGCCAGAGCCCAGTAGCCAGACGTTGACTTTCGCGAGTTTCTTCATATGCCTGAAAATAGTGCACCCCTCAACCCACTGGTTAATCATGGTTAATCATTTAATCATCATGTTCACTATTAAATGGCTATAATTGAGGGTGTACCCCATTTCCAGACACACCCACATCCTTGTTTGATTTCAGCAATCTCCACAATCTCTCCGGCCTCGGGCTGAAACAGTCAAGCAAGGTCCAACTTCCAGAGATTGGTTGTCAACAAGCATCCGACCTCCAGAAAAGCCACTGATGGTGCATTGAGGCTTGGTGACTTCCGTACCTGAAGGCGAAACATGCGAAAAGTGGAATATGTGGATGTTTTTCATATTTGCTCATCATACCAAGCAACTTACAGCGATCACAAAAAACGAGTCGCCAAGTGGTCTATGGAGCTGGCAGTCACACGAGGTTGATAGACAACTCGAATCCACTTTGGAATTGTGCCATTGGAGCTGACTCGGATTTCTTTGATCTCCTGTCACAGAGCTACTGTAACACGTGGTGTCCTAAAATGGTGGTACCCCAAGTCATCCACAAGACCATGTTAGTATTATTATATAGTATCCGCCGACCCCAGCCGGATGCTGGGGGAGCGCGCTGGAGAAGGCCTGCCCTGAAGAATGCTCAAGGGACAGACAGAGACAGATAGAGAGAGAGACAGAGACAGACAGAGACAGAGAGACAGACAGACAGAGACAGACAGATAGAGACAGAGAGACAGAGAGAGACAGAGAGAGAGAGAGAGACAGAGACAGAGAGACTCTCTCTGTAGGCAGACAGATAGACAGACAGACAGATAGACAGACAGACAGATACAGATAGACAGACAGACAGATACAGACAGACAGACAGACAGAGAGACAGAGAGACAGAGAGACAGAGAGACAGAGAGACAGAGAGACAGAGAGACAGAGAGACAGACAGACAGACAGACAGACAGACAGACAGACAGACAGGACAGACAGACAGGACAGACAGACAGGACAGACAGGACAGGACAGGACAGGACAGGACAGGACAGGACAGGACAGGACAGGACAGGACAGACAGACAGACAGACAGAATGCTGTTTCGCTGTTTCGCATGCGCCCGGCAAAGGTGGCAGTCGGCAGCTTCCAGAGCTACTTTTCTAAGGGCTTCAGAAAGCAACGGATGCGCCGTTTGTGAGCCGCGGCGGCTGGAAGACAGCTAGATTTTCTTGTAGGGTCAGAAAGTGACGTTAGGCACTGGGGGCCGTTGCCCGGAGGCCCGGTCCGTCCCTCAGGGCCCTGCTGTTTCGCTGTTTCGCATGCGCCCGGCAAAGGTGGCAGCCGGCAGCTTCCAGAGCTAGTTTTCTAAGGGCTTCAGAAAGCAACGTTAGGCAGTGGCGCCTGGCCTTGGGACACGCGGTTGGGACCAGCAGGCCCTGCTGTTTCGCTGTTTCGCATGCGCCCGGCAAAGGTGGCAGTCGGCAGCTTCCAGAGCTACTTTTCTAAGGGCTTCAGAAAGCAACGGATGCGCCGTTTGTGAGCTGCGGCGGCTGGAAGACAGCTAGATTTTCTTGTAGGGTCAGAAAGTGACGTTAGGCACTGGGGGCCGTTGCCCGGAGGCCCGGTCCGTCCTCTCAGGGCCCTGCTGTTTCGCTGTTTCGCATGCGCCCGGCAAAGGTGGCAGCCGGCAGCTTCCAGAGCTACTTTTCTAAGGGCTTCAGAAAGCAACGGAGCGCCGTTTGTGAGGCGGCGGCTGGAAGACAGCTAGATTTTCTTGTAGGGTCAGAAAGTGACGTTAGGCACTGGGGGCCGTTGCCCGGAGGCCCGGTCCGTCCCTCAGGGCCCTGCTGTTTCGCTGTTTCGCATGCGCCCGGCAAAGGTGGCAGCCGGCAGCTTCCAGAGCTAGTTTTCTAAGGGCTTCAGAAAGCAACGTTAGGCAGTGGCGCCTGGCCTTGGGACACGCGGTTGGGACCAGCAGGCCCTGCTGTTTCGCTGTTTCGCATGCGCCCGGCAAGGGTGGCAGCCGGCAGCTCTCAGAGCTATACTTTTCTAAGGGCTTCAGAAAGCAACGTTCCCAGCCGGATGCTGGGGGCACTCCACTACACTAAATTACACTACACTATACTACATTACCAGACAGAGACAGAGAGACAGACAGACAGAGACAGACAGATAGAGACAGAGAGACAGAGAGAGACAGAGAGAGAGAGAGAGACAGAGAGACAGGCAGACAGATAGACAGACAGACAGATAGACAGACAGACAGATACAGACAGATACTAGACAGATACTAGACAGACAGACAGATACAGACAGATACAGACAGACAGACAGACAGAGAGACAGACAGACAGACAGACAGACAGAGAGACAGACAGACAGACAGACAGACAGATAGGCAGACAGACAGACAGACAGACAGACAGAGAGACAGAGAGACAGACAGACAGACAGACAGACAGACAGACAGACAGAATGCTGTTTCGCTGTTTCGCATGCGCCCGGCAAAGGTGGCAGTCGGCAGCTTCCAGAGCTACTTTTCTAAGGGCTTCAGAAAGCAACGGATGCGCCGTTTGTGAGCTGCGGCGGCTGGAAGACAGTTAGATTTTCTTGTAGGGTCAGAAAGTGACGTTAGGGAGTGGGGGCCGTTGCCCGGAGGCCCGGTCCGTCCCTCAGGGCCCTGCTGTTTCGCTGTTTCGCATGCGCCCGGCAAAGGTGGCAGTCGGCAGCTTCCAGAGCTACTTTTCTAAAGGCTTCAGAAAGCAACGGATGCGCCGTTTGTGAGCCGCGGCGGCTGGAAGACAGCTAGATTTTCTTGTAGGGTCAGAAAGTGACGTTAGGCAGTGGAGGCCGTTGCCCGGAGGCCCGGTCCGTTTCTCAGGGCCCTGCTGTTTCGCTTTCGCATGCGTCCGGCAAAGGTGGCAGTCGGCAGCTTCCAGAGCTACTTTTCTAAGGGCTTCAGAAAGCAACGGATGCGCTGTTTGTGAGCTGCGGCGGCTGGAAGACAGCTAGATTTTCTTGTAGGGTCAGAAAGTGACGTTAGGCAGTGGGGGCCGTTGCCCGGAGGCCCGGTCCGTCCCTCAGGGCGCTGCTGTTTCGCTGTTTCGCATGCGCCCGGCAAAAGTGGCAGCCGGCAGCTTCCAGAGCTAGTTTTCTCAGGGCTTCAGAAAGCAACGTTAGGCAGTGGCGCCTGGCCTTGGGACACGCGGTTGGGACCAGCAGGCCCTGCTGTTTCGCTGTTTCGCATGCGCCCGGCAAAGGTGGCAGTCGGCAGCTTCCAGAGCTACTTTGCTAAGGGCTTCAGAAAGCAACGGATGCGCCGTTTGTGAGCTGCGGCGGCTGGAAGACAGCTAGATTTTCTTGTAGGGTCAGAAAGTGACGTTAGGCAGTGGGGGCCGTTGCCCGGAGGCCCGGTCCGTCCCTCAGGGCCCTGCTGTTTCGCTGTGTCGCATGCGCCCGGCAAAGGTGGCAGTCGGCAGCTTCCAGAGCTACTTTTCTAAGGGCTTCAGAAAGCAACGGATGCGCCGTTTGTGAGCTGCGGCGGCTGGAAGACAGCTAGATTTTCTTGTAGGGTCAGAAAGTGACGTTAGGCACTGGGGGCCGTTGCCCGGAGGCCCGGTCCGTCCCTCAGGGCTCTGCTGTTTCACTGTTTCGCATGCGCCCGGCAAAGGTGGCAGCCGGCAGCTTGCAGAGCTACTTTTCTAAGGGCTTCAGAAAGCAACGGATGCGCCGTTTGTGAGCTGCGGCGGCTGGAAGAGAGCTAGATTTTCTTGTAGGGTCAGAAAGTGACGTTAGGCACTGGGGGCCGTTGCCCGGAGGCCCGGTCAGTCCCTCAGGGCCCTGCTGTTTCGCTGTTTCGGATGCGCCCGGCAAAGGTGGCAGCCGGCAGCTTCCAGAGCTAGTTTTCTAAGGGCTTCAGAAAGCAACGATGCGCCCGTTTGTGGAAGCCTGCGGCGGCTGGAAGACAGCTAGGATTTTCTTTAGGGTTTTTGCCCGGAGGCCCCGGCCGTCCCTCAGGGCCTGCTGTTTCGCCGTTTTCGCATGCGCCCGGCAAAGGTGGCAGCCGGCAGCTTTCCAGAGTAGTTTCTAGGGCTCAGAAAGCAACGTTAGGCCAGTGGCGGCCTGGCCTTGGGCACGCGGTTGGGACCAGCAAGGCCCTGCTGTTTCGCTGTATCGCATGCGCCGCAAGGTGGCAGTCGGCAGCTCGAGCTACCATGCTAAAAGGGCTTCAAGAAAGCAACGGATGCACCGTTTGGTGAGCTGCGGCGGCTGGAAGACAGCTAGATTTTTCTTGTAGGGTCAGAAAGTGACGTTAGGCAGTGGGGGCCGTTGCCGCGGAGGCCCGGTCCGTCCTCAGGGCCCTGCTGTTTCGCTGTTTCGCATGCGCCCGGCAAAGGTGGCAGCCGGCAGCTTCCAGAGCTATACTTTTCTAAGGGCTTCAGAAAGCAACGTTAGGCAGTGGCGCCTGGCCTTGGGACACGCGGTTGGGACCAGCAGGCCCTGCTGTTGCGCTGTTTCGCATGCGCCCGGCAAAGGTGGCAGCCGGCAGCTCTTAGAGCTACTTTTCTAAGGGCTTCAGAAAGCAACGTTAGGCACTGGCGCCTGGCCTTGGGACACGCGGTTGGGACCAGCAGGCCCTGCTGTTGCGCTGTTTCGCATGCGCCGGGCAAAGGTGGCAGCCGGCAGCTTCCAGAGCTACTTTTCTAAGGGCTTCAGAAAGCCACGTTAGGCACTGGCGCCTGGCCTTGGGACACGCGGTTGGGACCAGCAGGCCCTGCTGTTTCGCTGTTTCGCATGCGCCCGGCAAAGGTGGCAGCCGGCAGCTTCCAAAGCGGGACCAGCAGGCCCTGCTGCTTCGCTGTTTCGCATGCGCCCGGCAAAGGTGGCAGCCGGCAGCTTCCAGAGCTACTTTTCTAAGGGCTTCGGAAAGCAACGTTAGGCAGTGGCGCCTGGCCTTGGGACACGCGGTTGGGACCAGCAGGCCCTGCTGTTTCGCCCCGTTGCCCGAGGCCCGGTCCGTCCCTCAGGGCCCTGCTGTTTCGCTGTTTCGGATGCGCCGTTTGTGAGCCTCGGCGGCTGGAAGACAGCTGTTTCGCATGCGCCCGGCAAAGGTGGCAGCCGGCAGCTTCCAGAGCTACTTTTCTAAGGGCTTCAGAAAGCAACGTTAGGCAGTGGCGCCTGGCCTTGGGACACGCGGTTGGGACCAGCAGGCCCTGCTGTTTCGCTGTTTCGCATGCGCCCGGCAAAGGTGGCAGCCGGCAGCTTCCAGAGCTACTTTTCTAAGGGTTTCAGAAAGCAACGTTAGGCAGTGGCGCCTGGCCTTGGGACACGCGGTTGGGACCAGCAGGCCGTGCTGTTTCGCTGTTTCGCATGCGCCCGGCAAAGGTGGCAGCCGGCAGCTCTCAGAGCTATACTTTTCTAAGGGCTTCAGAAACCAACGTTAGGCAGTGGCGCTGTTTCGCATGCGCCCGGCAAAGGTGGCAGCCGGCAGCTTCTAGAGCTACTT